ATTTAGACTTTTTCTTAAAAAAATAATTTTTGGTTATAACTTCCTGAAATAAATAAACTATAATCTAAAATATTTTAGCAGTCATTAATATAACTAAGTTCTTCTTTAATAGCTTTACGTTATAATATTTTAAGCTTTTTGCCTCATTTAGTTTTTTTTTTCTTTTCTTTTTAGGTTCACTATAAAATTTGGCTGTTTTTGAGTCCAAAAGGTAAGGCTATTTTGTTTTTTTGATCAACAACTTTTCCCTTTTATCTATTTTGCAGTTACAAGAAAAAAGATTTTTTAAAAAAATGAGATTAATACTGAACAATAATAATATCACGGATATGGATAGAATAAAATATACACAAATTTGATTCTTACTCAATAAAGATAGAGAGTATATTTCTGAGTGTGACAATATTAAAAATTTGACGAAAATGATGCGAATGAAATATACATTCATAATAGCTAACACTTCATGTTAAATTATTTTTTAAAAAGAAATATTCCACGGATCATATTTAATGAGCATTTATACACAATAATCAAACAAAAATTTGATGGTGAATATGATAAAATTATTTTTAATTAAAATTTAATCATTCCACTCATTTATCATTTTCTTTTAGGGTTTTTTTTATTAAAAAACCAATAATAATATGTACAATATTATTCTACAAGTAAAATTTAGCAAAAAGATAAAATATATGTTAATCTTATTTTGAGATAAAAAGATATTATTTTTTTTATAGATTATGAAAAAATCCTATTGAATTCGGTCTAGTGTAGTAGCTTTTGACACTTTGGACAATCCAAATGACAATTATACAAATGAATAAATAAAGAGATATTTAAATGTAAAAGTTTTCATTAATTTCTTGAATATTAGTACTAGTACTAGTACTACTCATAGGAGTTAGGAATATTTAGTGGCACTTAACACGCATTACAAAAAGCTTGGACTAAAAATAATAATTTGTATTTTTTTCCTTTTATGTCTCTAAAAATAAACATTAAATGATTAAATTTATATCCTAAGATATTAATCATATTTTTTAATATTTATTTTATTTATGAATGGTACGTTTATTCCCTCAAAAATAATATTAAAAAATAATTAATTTTATTTTTAAATTTTTAATATAATAAATAATTTGAAGCGATTATTTTAATATAAATCAAGCTAAATAAAGAAAATGATTGTGTCGGTTACATTAAGCAAATATTGGTACAATGTCTTACAAGGAGGTCCACTTCATTGATTTGATGAATAGGACAACTTTCTTTTTTTTAGAATTTATATCATGCTTTCTTTGTTTTAAAATAAGTTAAGTGATATTTGAAAAATTAAAATTATATTTTGGTATGTATTTAACTTATTTAAAAGGAGAGGTTTTTGTTATTAAAAAGGAAAAGTGCATTGAAAATTACTTATTCAAACTTAAAGTTCATCTTCAAAAGAATGTGTTAGAACGAATAAAATCTTTTTATTTTTAATTAATATTTTTGAATTTGAGACGTAAAAATAAAAAAAATTTAATAAAAAAAATGTATCTTTATAAAATGGGATAATTGTATAGAATAATAAACTAATAATATAAAATAAATATAGTAGTTACCATTTTACAATAAAAGACTTCTATGCCAAGTCTCTTTTGTCTTTCTCTCTTTCTCGTTTTATACAAATTCAAATTGTATATAATTTTTCTCTTTCTCGTTTTATAGAATACGATTCAATTGTATATTCTCTGCCCAAGTCTCTTTTGCCTTTCTCGCTTTCTCGTTTTATACAAATTCAAATTATATATAATCGTCCTATACACTTATAGTTATACAATGTGTGTTATATACTTCATTTTATACACTTCGTTTTATACAACTCTCTGTCCAAGTTTCTTTTTCTTTCTCATTTTATACAATTCGCTTCAGCTGTATATGCATAGTGAATTATACATATGTATGTTTGCTATAGAGTGCAATTATGCAAATTTTGCTAAAGCATACAAATATAAAATTTATGTTTGCTATATGTGAAAATTGTCCATATTATATTTACATTTTGGGGACGTTTGGTAGGCTGTATTAAAAGAAATAATCCATATATTAGATGTGGTATAATTTAATACTGTGTTTGGTAGGAATGTGAGCTTATGTATAACTAATCCATGGATTAGTTAATACATCCTACATGGTATTATGTGATGTATTACTAATACATTCCATTTGGAGGTATTAGCTCTAATACCATGGGACTATTCTAGGTAAAGACAAAAATACCCCTCAAATCCTTTTAATATTTTATTTATTTTTTTTGATTTTATATTTTATATTTTATATTTATTCTAATAAAGTTATTTAAATAAATTAGCTTACAAATTTTATTATTTAGATATAATTTTTTATTTCTAAAATATGAATTACTTAATCTATTTATTATTAATATAAAATATTATAATCCAACTAATATGTTAATGTTGATGTATGAATTTAAGAACAATTCATAAGTAAAATATTGTCTCTTAATGAAAGTTCATTAAACATTACACAAGTAGTCTAAAACAAGTATATCTCGAGTATAAAAATTGTTTAATTTATTTTTCTATATTTATTTTATATTTTTATTTTATTTTATTTTATTTTATTTTATGATAAAGAGTTTTTTAAAATTTATTGATACAAAACAAAGTTTCAATAAATTTTCTCTATAATCATTATAGTTGTGCCTTTTGAGTTATTAACTCTAATTTATTAAGATGACAATTATTTACTCTTAAATAGTTTAAGTGAGAAAATAGTGAATATGACGATAAAAATTTTATTCTCCTAACTAGTTAAAAATATTATAAAAAAAATAATACTCTCCATTAATTATCTACTTTTACTCAATTATATGAAATACAAAATCTCATAATAACTCTAGGGTATAATTGAAAAGTTTTTTTAAAAAACTTTTAAACCACACACAAAATTAGATAAGAAATAATGAATCAAATACTTGATAAAAATAATCCATGCATTACTAATTTCTGCATTGTTAATCTCTGCAATTGTTAATTCCTGCATTACTAATCTCTGCATTATTCATTTTTGTACCAAATGACCGTTTGATGTCCATAGGCCAAAATTGTTAATACACAATCATCAATTAGTTTGGTAACCAAACACTAATGAATGTGTTTACCTACCTTTAATTGTTTCATTAGGCTCTTCTATTTTTATTACTCAGTAGATTTTTTAACAAACATTGGAATGCCTTGTGACTCATATTGTATTCACATAAATCCAAAACTACTTAGAATAATGTTTTTGGGTTAATTATTCTAAAACCTTTATATTATAATTTGGATTTTACTTATTTTTATTGAGATCAAGATATTTAAATTTAAATAGATAGATGTTAATTAAGATTTAGAAATTTAAATTTGAATATTAAGATGTTAGATTAAAATGTAAACACTTAATAGTTAGAGACTTAAAAGGTTTATCAACATCTAAATGCATACTTTTTGTTTTAAGTTGATCAAATAATATGGCAATAAATATTTTTATATGATAGTTGATAGTGATGATAACTAACAATGGTTATTGTGTGTCAATTTGAAATGATATTGATTGACGAAGGTGATTGTGACGTAGTATCATATAATATAGTGGTTAGTAGTAGTGATTAACTGTGATTGTTGTTGGTGATGACTGATAAGATTTTTAATCAATCTGACCCATTAAATAGTCGCAAAATAAGAAAAACAAACACACTTAATGTATTTTCGTCCACTTTTAATTATCATAGTTTCCTCTTTAAGTTAAACTATAATAACTTTGACTAAAATTTTACAATTTCATCATATTGATATGCAAAATTGCAATTTATAATACTTTTTGTATAGTTTTTGAACATTAAAATTTTTCATTTAAAATATGCAATTAATGTAATCTAATTTAACTTGAACAATAAATCGAATTGACTTTCGAAAAACGTAATATGACAAATAAAAGTGAATGGATGGAGTAACTAAGATTTGAATAATTAAGATTAAGGTCTTGAAAATAGACAAACTTAATGACGGAGATCTTAACGATTAAAATTAAAACCTTTATTGAGTGCAAATAAATGAGACATTAGTTACAACTAGATCATGTTTTAAAATCAGTCACTTCTGCTCCTATACTAACAACTTATATTAATATCTTATTTTTCGATTTTATATTACTTTGATTATCATATTATTTATTGTTTCTATTGTTATTATTATTATTTTTTATTTTTTGTTCATACTCAATTTTAATATGTTTTACCTGAGCACTGAAATCAATTAGAAACAATATATCCATCTTAATATCGTTAAGGGTAAAAAAAAATTACACACCACTTTTCCACCTCCCCCGTAGTATTATTGTCATTTACATTCCTATACTATAACTAAATTACAAGTAACTCCCTTAATTTAGCTAAATTAGTTTTAACATATAAAAATAAATTTAACAAAGTTTAATCTGTTGTAAATTCATTGTATATGTGGATAATCCATTAGAGTTATCCAACGATTAATTGGATTCATGTATTAGTGTTTCCAATGTGATAAGATTTTAAGGTGATATGAACTTTGATGATAACTATGTATCATTCCGAGGTGACCTTTGACTATGATATCTCAACACTGTAAATAGAGATATCATTCACCATTGTATGACACACTTGAATAAGAAAATTCTCTCCTCTATCTTATATTTCTTATCTTTTTCTTCTTATATTCTGAGCTTTCTTTACAATACGTTATCAGCACGAAGTTGCTACTTGCAAAGGTATTATATAATTTTTATTTAAATCACATATTCTCTCATAATTTCATTATGTCGGATTTATCCAAACTTGAGTTTGTGGCATTAGATATTTCTGGAAAAAAATATCTTTCATGGGTACTCGACGTTGAATTCACTTGGCTGCTAAAGGTCTTGATGCCACTATTACCCAGCGAAATGAAGCATCGAGTCAAGATAAGGCTAAGGCGAAGGCTATGATTTTCCTTTGTCATCATCTTGGTGAGGGCCTGAAGATTGAATATTTGACGGTAAAAGATCCACTTGAATTGTGGACTGATTTAAAGGGAAGATATGACCACCTAAAGGCAACAGTGTTGCCAAGAGCTCCTTATGAGTGGATGCATTTACAGTTTCAAGATTTTAAGACCGTAATTGAATACAACTCTGTTGTATTTAGGATAACCTCCCATTTAAAATTATGTGGGGAGACTATAAAAGATGAGGACATGTTGGAAAAGACAGTTACTATTTTCCATGCCTCAAATGTGATATTGCAACAACAATATCGTGAAAAGGGTTTTCAGAAATATTCTGAACTAATCTTATGTCTTTTGGTGGCTGATCAACATAATGCTCTTTTAATGAAAAATCATGAAGCTCGTCCCATTGGAGCTGCTCCATTACCGGAGGCAAATGTGGTGGAAGCACGTGATCAATCTGAAGTAAAAAGAGATCATCGGGGATATAATAATGCACGGGGACGTGGAAAAGATAAAAGATGATACACTAATCATCAAGGTGGTGGTCATAATAAAAGGGAGAACAACATGAGTTCTCAAAATAACCCCTCAAAAAGTAATTGTCGTCGTTGTGGCATGAAAGACCATTGGAAGAATGAATGTCGCACACATGAGCATTTTGTAAGGCTCTGTCAAAATTCCTTTAAAAAGAAAGGAAATAAAAGTGGTACTTCCTCTTCCAATGCTCGAACTTAGTCACATATTACTCTTAAAGATGATGATAAGCCGGGAACATCTCAGAAATATGATAAGGATGTTGAAGCAAATTTGGCTTTAAAGGATGATGTTTTTGATGGTCTTGGTGACATTACTCATATGGAAGTTGATGACTTCTTGGAGATCGAAATTGATGTTTGATCTTTTAGCTGGGAAATGAAGTCTGTTAATATTTTACATAATATTTTACTTATGTATTTTTAATTATTATGTTATTCATGTTGAAGTATTTAAATTTTCGTTGTTAATTTTGTTTCTTCCTTCTTTTAATGAAAATTAATAGAAATCCCCAGTTGTCAGTTGGATTCAAGATGAGCAATGGAGATGTATGCCTTCTTGATAGTGCTACAACGCATACAATATTAAAAGAAAAGAAATACTTTTCTAATTTGGTTATGAAAATGGCATATGTCAACATAATATCAGGTAGTACAAAATTAATTGAGGGCTCTGGAAGAGCGACCTTATTATTACCTGGAGGGACAATATTAAGCATTGATAATGCATTATATTGTAGTAAGTCTCAAAGAAACTTATTAAGTTTCAAAGTTATTCGCCAAAATGACTATCATGTCGAGAAGGCTAATGAAGGAAAGGTTGAATACCTTTACATTACTACAATTAATGTAGAGAAGAAAATTGTGCATGAAAAATTACCTGCATTTTCTTCTGGGTTGTACTATACAAGTATAAGTACAGTGAAATCACATACCGTAGTAAACAAAAGGTTTACTAATTTAATGATTTTATCATTTGGCATAACCGGTTGGGCCATCCCTAATTTAATATGATGCGCAAAATCATTGAGAATTCACATGGGCATACCTTAAAGAGCCCAAATATCCTTCAATCAAAGGAATTCTCTTGTGCTGCTTGTTCTCAAGGAAAGTTGATCATTAAACCATCAACGGTTAAGATTGGAATTGAATTCCCTGCATTTCTGGAACGTATACAAGGTGATATATGTGGACCAATTCAATCTGTATGTGGACCCTTTGAATATTATATGGTCTTGATAGATGCTTCTACAAGATGGTCATATGTGTGTTTATTATCAACTCGCAACATGGCTTTTGCGAGATTGCTGACTCAAATAATAAGATCGAAAACACAATTTCCAGACTATATAATAAAGACAATCCGTCTAGATAATGCTGGTGAGTTTACATCTCAGGCATTTAATGATTATTGTATGTCTACTGGTATAACAGTTGAACATCAAGTTACGCATGTTCACACTCAAAACGGTCTAGCAGAATCATTGAATAAACGTCTGCAATTAATAGCTAGACCATTACTAATGAGAACAAAGTTATCTATGTCTATGTGGGGCATGCTATTTTGCATGCAGCAACACTTTTGCGCATGAGGCCGACCAATTATCATGAATTCTCCCCATTACAATTGACTTTTGGTCAAGAGCCAAACATTTCCCATCTTAGTATTTTTGGATGTGCGGTGTATGTCCCAATTGCTCCACCACAACGCACAAAGATGGGGCCCCAAAGAAGGTTGGGGATATATGTTGGGTATGAATCTCCTTCAACCATAAAATGTTTGGAGCCAATGACTGGAGATTTATTTAAGGCAAGATTTGCTGATTGTCATTTTGATGAATCAGTATACCCAACATTAGGGGGAGAACATAAGTCGTTGGGAAAAGAGATAGATTGGAATTCATCATCTCTATATCATCTGGATCCTCGAACAAACCAATGTGAGCAAGAAGTTTAAAGAATAATTTATTTGCAGAACATTGCAAATCAGCTACCAGATGCATTTACTAATCTTCAAAGGATTACTAAATCGCATATTCCAACTGTTAATGCTACAGTTCGAGTTGATATCCCGACGGGACAAATTGTTAAGGCAAATGAGTCTAGACCACATTTGAAGCATGGTAGACCAATTGGTTCCAAGGATAAAAATCTTCGAAAAAGAAAAGGAATAAATGATCAAGATGATCATGCGTTGAAAGAAATTTCTCAAGATGCGACCTAAGTCATAACGCATGATGAGGAGGAGGTTCGAACTTCTGAAAACAATAAAATTTCGATGAATTATGTCTCAACGAGAAAGTTGTGGAACCGAAATAATGTTGTGATTGACAACATATTTGCCTATAATGTTGCTATTGAAATAATGCAACAAGACGAAGATTTTGAGTCAAAATCTGTTCACGAATGTAGACAGAGAAATGATTGCCGAAATGGAAGAATGCAATTCAAGCTGAATTGACTTCACTAGAAAAACGTGAAATTTTTAGACCGATAATCCGAACACCTGAAGGTATCAAGCCAGTGGGGTACAAATGGGTTTTTGTACGAATAAGAAATGAGAAAGGTGAAGTCATGAGATATAAGGCCCGACTAGTTGCTCAAGGTTTTTCTCAAAGACCTGACATTGATTATTTGGAGACATATTCTCTAGTGGTAGATGCAATCACCTTCAGATATCTCATAAATCTGGCAGTTCATGAAAAACTTGAAATGCGTCTAATGGACGTTGTCACAGTCTATCTATATGGCTCATTGGACCACAACATTTTCATGAAAATTCTTGAAGCATTCAAAGTGCCTGAAGCATACGAAGATTCAAGAGAAACTTGTTCAATAAAGCTTCAGAATTCTCTGTATGGATTGAAACAATCAAGAAGGATGTGGTACAATCGTCTGAGTGAATATTTGTTAAAGAAAGGGTACAAAAATGACCCGATTTGTCCCTGCATTTTCATTAAACGGTTGGGGTCTGAATTTGTAATAATAGCTGTGTATGTTGATGATTTGAACATCATTGGCACTCGTAAAGAGCTGTTAGAAGCTGTTGAGTGTCTGAAAAAAGAATTTGAAATGAAAGATCTCGGCAAGACAAAATTTTGTCTTTGCTTACAGATTGAGAATTTGTCAAATGGAATACTTGTTCATCAATCAACGTACACAGAAAAGATACTAAAGCGTTTTTACATGGATAACTCACATCATTGAGTACTCCAATGATGGTAAGATCGCTTGACATCAATACAGATCCATTTCGACCTCAAGAAAATGATGAAGAGCTTCTTGGTGATGAAACTCCTTATCTTAGTGCGATCGAGGCACTAATGTACCTTGCTAACAATACTCGGTCAGATATCTGATTTGCAGTAAGTCTAGTGGCAAGATTCAGTTCCTCCTCAACAAAATGACATTGGAATAGTGTTAAACACATACTTCGATATCTTCGAGGGACCATGGACATGAGTTTATTCTATTCCAATGAATTCAAGTCAGAACTGATTGGTTATGCAGATGCAGGGTATTTATCTGATCCGCATAAAGCTCGATCACAAACAGGCTATTTGTTTACATGTGGAGACACGACGATATCTTAGCAATCAATGAAGCAAACGTTGGTAACCACTTCTTCAAATCATGCAGAAATAATAGTCATCCATGAAGCAAGTCGAGAGTGCGTCTGGTTGAGATCAATGACCCATCATATTCAGGAAATGTGTGATTTTTCTTTGAAAAAGAATATCCCAACAACAATGTACGAAGATTATGCTGCATGTATAGCTCAATTGAAAAGAGGATACATCAAAGGAGACCGGACAAAACATATCTCACCAAAGTTCTTTTTCACGCATGATCTTCAACAAAATGGTGAGATAAAGTTCAACAAATTCGTTCAAGTGATAATCTTGCTTATTTATTCACTAAGACATTGCCAACATCAACGTTTGAGAAGTTGAGATACAAGATTGGAATGCGCCGTCTCCGAGATATCAACTAAAGTTTTCATCAGGGGGAGCGAAATACGCGTTGTACTCTTTTCCTTAACTATGATTTTGTCCCAAGTTGGATTTTCCTGGTAAGGTTTTTAACAAGGCAACATTCAAAGCGTATTATGAGATATGTGTACTCTTTTTCCTTCACTAGGCTTTTTCCCACTGGGTTTTTCCTAGTAAGGTTTTAACGAGGCACATAATCTATGGATATCCAAGGGGGAGTGTTGTAAATCCATTGTATATGTGGATAATCCATTAGAGTTATCCAACAATTAATTGGATTCATGTATCAGTGTTTCCAATGTGATAAGATTTTAAGGTGATATGAACTTGATGATAATTATGTATAATTCCAAGGTGAGCTTTGACTATCATATCTCAACATTATAAATAGAGATATCATTCACCATTGTATGACACAATTGAATAAGAAAATTCTCTCCTCTATCTTATACTTCTTATCTTTTTCTTCTTATATTCTGAGCTTTCTTTACAATATAATCAACTAATTGAAATAAACTTTTATTTTTATTCATGCTATTCACACCTTTTCACAAATGTAATAATCTTCAAGCTTTTCCTATAAGTTAACATCTTTTTTACTCTGCTAAGAACTCAAATTTATAATCCTTATTTACTACGTGAATAATTTCTGGTAATTCTTTTTGAATCATAGATCTAAATGCAAAATAATATTTTTTTCTAATTTTACACGTTGTTGTATTTGTTGATAAATAAAATGGTCTTAGCTACCCCACCTTCCAATTTAAAACTATATAAATTCGATTATATTTTCCGTGAGAATATTTCACTTTTTTCTTACTGGCACTATTTTATTCAGATAGTGTTATTTGTACGCCAATAATATCCCAAATCCTATTATTATTCATTGATTTCAAATTTTAATTTTATTTTTTTTTGGAATTTTTGGTAAGTTCAAGAATAATTTTTGAGTTTTTTGTGTTTTTGAATCCAAGGGCAAGAATGAATGGAAAAATCTCAAAATCATTGTGTGTTGACAATGCTAAGGAGCTTCTCGATTCTGTTGATGCATTTCTCTTCGATTGCGATGGTAAGACAACCCCCAATTCGTATTATTCCTTTTCATATCATGTAAATTTTGTATCGAGCATTTATTGAAAATAGTTTCTTTATCTTCCAAAGTAGGGGCAAAGTTGAGTTGATTTCTTAGATTATTATTCGAGTAATAGTTATTATAGTTATTACATCACAAAGTTAGTTTCTTTATTGAAAATTTGAAATTTAGAAGCAAGATATAGCTAATTAGTTGAGTGACCATCTGAGAAATCAATTCGATTGAAGTCTGTATACACTCTATCCATCCCAGACTTCACTAATGTAATTATGCTGAATA